AAAGACTAAGAACTATTCAGCAAGATAAAGAAATATGTAAGATAAGAGAAAAAACAGCTTGCCAGTGGGTGCAGATGCTGCTGGCCTGAGGATCATCAGAAGCTCCGGCCATTCTCTCCCCTCAGAAAACTCTTGCATCAAAGATAATCAACAAAATTCAGATTATACAAACCATTGTCAACGAAGATTTAAGGCCGTACAAGCAAAACTAAGTAAAATATAGAAAAATGAAAAGTCGAAAAAGGAATCCCAATAATACTGATCGAAAAGGGTGACAACCTCGGATTCCAACCTCAGATCAAGCGATAGGAGAGCTTCTTTATTGTGATCGGTTTATCATTCAACGAAATTAGGCTAGGGGATTTGTTCCTAACAAAAGATAGAACTTTGGACCTCAAAACACATGTTAGAGTGGAAAGAGAAATTTTTACGTAGCATAAATTATAAGGCCATGTTTGGTGCGCACAATAGGATTAGGTAGACAATATTAAATTGTTTGGGCCTAGTTTACTTGCTAGGTTAGGATATGATAAAGGTGGATAAGCCACCTTATCCGTCGTTCACAAGACTTGATGCTCTTCAGGGTAAGGTCGATGCTATCCATGTAGGTAGTGCCCCATAGACTTTTTGACCACATATTCACACACACTCACACAAACACCCATGTGGGTGTGTGTGAAATTTGTGGTCAAAAAGCCCATGGAAGCACTACCCACATGGGTAACATGAAATCTATCACTCTTCGGATATATCCTAGGTGACATGTGGTGGCCCACGTGCATATCAGTTGTTGGCCGAGTTCCCTCCTGTGTTGTATGTCGGATTTTTTTATCCATCACCAAAATGACCATTAAGTTCAGAAAAGCCCAAGAAAATGACTTTAATACCCCCAGTTCTTTACTAGCCCTAACTCACTCTTGTCTCATTTCTCTCTCTGCGACAGTAAGGTCGTTCTTCTTTTTTTTTTTTTTCNTTTTTTTTTTTTTTCCGCTCGATTTGTTGAAGTAATTCATGATAAATTCATGTTAAAATGTCAGATTTGTGTTCTCAAATTCGTGTTTTTGTTGAATTGGCCGCAGGACGCGTTCCCCTTCCGCATTCTATCATCGGCGGTTGTAAGTTTCTTCCTGTTTTTATGTAGATTATTTATAAATTTTCTCAATTCCGCGGTCTAGTACCATGAAATAGTTTTTAATCATGGTACTAGACTATATTATTTTTTTTCTGTACCTATTTTTTAAAAAATGTATATAATTAGTGATATGGATAACCATACTAGGTTGACTAGACCGAGAAAGCAATTGAACCAAACTGGATGGACGATTAGGTTGAACGGGTAATGAAGACTTCGCAGGTCAAAGGACCCTCAGGTCCAGGAGGACGTCAAGGATATAAAGAGCATCTGCAGGTCGAATTAGGGCCCTCGGATGGCCTGAATGAAGTTCGACTTGAGGGAACATCTGGTCGAAGGATCGACCAGATGGGCGTAGTAGCAAAGGTCGTCATCAGTGATACTCTACCCCGAGGTAATCGGGGTCGGTAGCACGGTAAGACCGTCTAATGAGGAAGACTAAATGATAGAAGGAATATTATGGGGATTAAACCCCCACGTGGTATAACATAATGGACAGTTTGGGCAGTACGAACAGGCAGCTCATCTGGGCAATCTTTAGCAACAATGTATCATCTCCCTATATAAGGAAGTAATGTATGCCCTGAATTACATTACACTCTCTACATATATTTTCATATTGCTAACTTAAGTTTCGGAAGTTGTTCACGTGAAAAACCCTCCGGTATGAGAGTTTTATAGGTCTAAAGACGTTCAACCGGCGAGGAGCTCGAGATCTAGTCGTTTCTAGCCAGTCGGAGGCCTTTGACGTACCAGTTAGAATTATAATTTCTTACAAATTGAATAGTGTAATTAATGTATAAGATAATTTTCATGTAATATGTACAATTCTTGATTTTACTTGTCAAAATACTAACTATATTAACGTATTATTTTAATTTTATCAATATAATTATTAATACAAATTGTATATTCAAGTGGATATTTACTTTCTTTTTCTCTTAAGATAAATACATAATATAATGTTGATCATATATTTTTATCAACTTTTTAATTTGAATTATTCATATAATATAATTAATACGATTCAAACTTAATTATTTTGATTATTCTTTTTATACACGAAGTACTTCTGACCGATTATCTTAGTTAAAAACAATTAATATCTACAACCATAGAATAAGAATATAATTAATTAAATCAATTACTAAATTATAATAAATAAATTCATTTAGTTTGGTCAACAAATAATGACAATAATTGTTAAGACCAATCAATAATTTACGTTTATTTTTTAATTCATAATTAATCAATATTAGCCATTGAATAAATAAAAAATAAACAATTTTTTATTTATGAAATTCTCTAAAAAATAAATGTTATTTATATACCAAATATAGACTATATTTTTTTCCACCTTAACCATGTCAATTTTTGTAATATAGATTAATCCATTATATAGATAAACATAAAATAATTCAAATTCCGCAAAAAGATTGTAGTTAATACTAACAAGAGAATTTTTGTAATACAGATTAATCCATTATATAGATAGAGACATAAATTTAATAATTCAAATTCCACAAAAAGTTGGTAGTTATACTAACAAGAGTACGTTCTCCAGCTGATGTGGTTAATACTGCCGAACAAAAAAATAGTCAATAACTGATCAAATCAAAACCACCCAAAGAATCAATTTGGATCCCTTATTTCGGACTCATCCTTCAGTCACTTCTAACATAATTCGATATATTATCATTACCTATAACTAAATTATTTTCCTATAGCTCATTTCTAACATAATCTGAAATAGTATAAGTATTTCAAGACCATCATTATAAAATTCTAGTGTCAACCTGTCCAGCTAAACTATATAACGTCTAGACACAATACTTGAACAAAATTTTACAGTTATTATCAAATGTCATGACTCATACGTCTACTACTATTGTTCTTTTAAAGTATGAGATTCGAGTATAAAATTGTATAAATCTAATGAAATGGTATAAATGTCTAACTATTAGACAACCCAACTTCAATTATTATTAACGTTTAAAAGATACTAACAGTTGAATCGCAACTCGACCAAAGTATAACACATGGAGATGGACCATTAAAACACGCAACTCTCTCATTTTGCTAACCACTAAAAATCAATATTAATATCGTACTCTTGCATAGATTGCACAGCCCCTGAAGCTGCATAATTTGATAATCATAACATATTCCGGACAAAGAATTCTTCTTGAACACAGCAAAGGCCCCTGTACATGGATTACAACATAATTGAGAAAATTAAAGTAATTTACAACTCAGAGCCCAAAACTCGTCTCCATGTGAATTCTATTTCCGAATTTCTGATGCTCATATTAGGAGACATTATAGCTATAAGCTCACGGGTGGACTTCCCTGCATATTCAGATTAGAGACATTTTAAATATCGTCTCAAAAGCATTCCCAGCCATAAAATAAGCTATGTATCGACTTAAAGTCAAACTCAAATTTGGTAGAGCAGTACAATTGAAAAAAAAAAAGAAAAAAAAAAGAAGAAGCAATGAAATGAAAAGCGAGCATCACCTTAAATAAAAGATCATGGGCAATGTTTTCCCAGGGTAGTGAAATGGACATTAAACAGCACTTGAGGGGCAGCATCTCATCCTCTGAAGGTCGAGTTGAAGAGGCATTAGCAGCAGCATAAGCGTGCTTTGCAGCTAATGATGCAACAGATGCTGCTGTACGCACGATATTCCCGATACCAATTCCTTTTTTTGATATTTGAATCGGTGAATGGGGACCTAATTCCATCTTGCTTTGATCTGTGAAAAAGATACACAGGATAGATGCTGCTTAAATTACTCAAAAGTACAGTATTTGCTAAAAGAAGCTTCAGAACAAATAACTTCAAAGAAAAAAAAGGTTGAGAAATGATAAAAGAAGCAGTCAAATGATTAGGGAAAAAGAGAAGAAGAATTGAACTTGTTTCGGTCTCCCATTGGGGCTTGTTGGTGAAAAGCAAAGGCGAGACAAACAGAAAAGGAGCTACAATAACAAAGTTCTTAACTTCATCAAATTGAATCCTATACACCGTGACATTTAAATAACAAGATGAAGACATTCATTGACTAACCTAAAACGCCGGAAACAGCTACTTCAACTTCACCGCGTCCTCCAGGACCTTTCATGTAAATTCTGTCAGTTTTCCCAGAAGAATGACCAAGAGAGAGAAGGCTCCCAAAACCAGTTCTGCCAGCTGTAAAAACGGAAGGGAAGTAGAGAAAGGTGAAAAAAAAAAGATCAACCAAAAATGAGCACAAACCTCGACTTAGAGAACCTTAATAAAATAAAAAACACGTACATTCATATTGTACTTGTAGATGGTACACAGACCATCCACTGACTGAAACGATCACCAATATCTTATTCGGTTATTATTTTAACAAGTAAACTAGTTGAAAGTAACTGTTTTGGTTAAATTTGTGGATAAATCGCGACTCTCCAGTAAGCTCCATGATTGAATTCTACTTGGTCTAAGTTAGAGGTTGTATAATCAAATCTTCAAACTTTCTATTCTGCGTGCCTTGAAGAAAGTAAAACTACCACATCTCCAATAATCTTAAACACTTACTGCCTGACCGAGAATCAGCAGAAGTCAAATCTATGATAAGTTAAGATGAAATAAATACTTAAACCATCTTTACTTGCTGATGTAAGCTTAATATTAGATAAGATACTATTTTACTGGTTTGTTTTAACGACCACGGAACTCTTCTAGTCACAACTAGTTGAAAAATGTTTCCTCAATCATTGTTTCTCTTATCTGATGTATAATTAGCATTGGTATAATCAACTTTCTAAGGTCATCAAGCATAATATTGGCATACTTGTAGTGGAAGGAGAATCAGTATTCATGGTTATACCCAAACGATCATAAGTACAAGTCCATTTTTTAATCCATTGTTGAATCATGTATTGGTTGGTCCAGCATATATTAAAGGAAGAAAAAAAAAAAAAGGAAGAAGGTATTGAACTCTGCTTAGCTGTTGAATGTCTTAGAAAAGGACAAAAGTATATACGCTACACCACAGCCCGATACAAACACAGAAAATTACCATCATATGCTTCTCGAACCATTTGATAGCTGACAAATCCTGAAAAAAGCGTAATCTGCAAACAGGATTTGATGCCAGTAAGTAGAGTAATGCTAAAAAAAAAAACTGTTTAAGACGGCCCAGATACTACCTTAGAGTTCTTAAACTTGCCAGCACTTGTAACATTCTCTGAAGAAGGAACATCAGAACTAGTTTGCTCTGATTTTCTTTCAATAGGAAATGCTGCCCCAGAGTGAGCATTTAGAACAACACAATAGCAGTGGTCTGTATCAGTCAAGACCTGAGAGATTGAAGTTTTAATTTTAATAATGGTCAAACAAAATGGAACTAATTATGTTAAAGGTCAAAAGAAATCTTATATAAAGCTTTACAAAATTGGAGCGACGGGAAGTCATATTTGCATAATGTATATATAACTAGATGTACGCTGCACACGAGATGCCTCATGATCTCAATCATAGTCACCAAATTAATACATCCCCTAACTCCGTGTGGTCACGGATCGTGGGTTATTTCGACCTGGTGGATCAGGTAAGTCGTTTGGCTTCCCAAATTTGCAACCCACTTCTAAAAGAGAATTTAGGTGCAATCTAAATCTATATAAAAAGGTTTGTTTACTATAAAATGTAATAGTCTACCGCCAAAAAAAAAAAATATTAGTTACTAATAAGGAAAGTTTTTTCAATGTTCTTTTTTTTTTCTATTTTCTTTAGGTAAATTTTTCTTAACCCATAGATACTTTTATTTTTATTTTAGGTAACGTGATGTCAATAATTGATCTAAATATAATAATTAAACTTTCCAAAAATTTTCAATCAATTATTTTATTTCTACCTATTCTGTTTTATTTTTAGTGATGTGATATCAACAATTTGAGATTAGTAATTATTACTATGTGATAATTATTTCTAAAGTAATAATAAGTTTATAAGTTGATATTTCAAACTTAAATTTATTATTTAATACTGATTTTAAAAATAAGATGGTCTAAAGCTATTCATACAATAAAATATAAATGCATATATGATCAAATATATTTAGTATTAAATAATCAAAAATAGTAATTGATATGTTTATCAAAGAGGTTTAAACAATTAATGCTAAAAAAAATATAAAAAAATAAGTACACAATTATTTTGAGGATCAAATATATGATATTAAAAATAAAATGATAAACCAACGGATCATTTGTCGAATTGTCGTGTAAATTATTAGTTTATAAGAACTCAAAATATTTATAATATATATTGTTATAAATTATGTTAACCCAATGAGAAACTATAAGTTGAGAAAGAAAAATCAAAATATTTATATTGTTACAAATTCTGATGGCATACCAACGGATCGTCAAACTATTCATGTACATTATGACACTTATAAATTTTGCCACAATTTTTCAACTTTACCATCCCCTATTTAGCAATCGAAATAATATATTGTAATAAGGTATGAGTAAAGGAAGGGAGAGAAGTATTTTTGTGACTATTATTTAGAGAATAATGTTTGAATATATTAATTTTCATATTCCTAAATTCTAAACAAGACTCCAAAATGACAACTATTTTATAGATTGTTAAATAAACATATAAATTATATGTCAAAATACTATATATCATAGAAATAAAAGAAAAATATAAAAATTAATATTAATATTCAAACTATTTTTATACTAATCAATATTCTTCATTACTTTAATTTATATGATTTATCATTATTGCCCTCCTGTACAGGGATATAAATTATTTTTCACTTTTATTCTCTCCGTTATATTTTTCAACTGAAAATAAGATTGGATAATTTTTTTTTCAAAAGTTTATATTTATCCATTCCAACTTTTTCTCCTCAACCTATCACTACAACAATAATAAAAATCAATCATCACTACACATTTTTTAACAAATTTCAATATTCATCTACTTACATATTTTTAATTACCAATATTTACATTCATTATTTTACTACTTCCATAGCAAATCAACTTTAATTCGTACATTTTATCACATATCCACCCAAACCGTACCATGATCTAAGTAACCTTCCTGAATCTAACAGCTAAATGATGAGGCCAAAAAAATTGTGCACAAACATATCCAAAAATGCTAGAAGTAGCAGACAATTTTACTGATCACTCACATTTTTTGACAGCAAACATAAAAAATATGTATCTTACCACTGCATCAAAAGTGGAATCAAAGTCATCAACAGCAAAACAAATATCTGGATAGGCAGGTGTTGTTTCTACTTCCTGATCAAATGCACGAGAGTAATGATCAAGGCCAACAGGAACATATAAAATAAATTTAGATATGAAACTCGACATTATATATTACCTTTCTTGCGTCCAAATGAAAATTAACACGACTTGGAGATGCATATACAGTTTTCAATACCTGTCAACGTAAAAGTTTGTACATAAGGAGTTAGGTCCCAAGAGAAGGGACAGCACTGAAACGCAAAGATAATAATAATAATTTATCATTATTGTATAATTAGCAGTAGCAACAACAGTAAGAATAATAACAACAATGGTGATGACGGTGATGATGATGAAAGTAATAGCAGAAATAGTACTAAAGAAGTTCTAGTTAGAGTGAAAGAAACTAGTTTACGTGTTGAAAATGTGAAAAAAAACATCACATAAGCTGTACACGAGATTTNGGTGGGGTGTGGGGTTTACTGAAGTTAAATTCCAAGAAACAAATACATTTATTGGAAAAGTAGGTTGAATAAAGGATGAAACTGAAGAGATAATAATTTTTCACTCTACTCATACTAAATCATGAAAGAAAAGGATATCATATTTCTAGTATTAAAAGCTTTGACTCCAGTCACTCCACAAAATCAAAAATCACAACTTTGGTGCAAATGGAGTCTCAGAGAATCAACATAACTCCTACATTAATAATATATTAAATCAATTGCCCCTCACTCTCAGGGACATAATCCCATTAAGCATTTAACTAGCATCGAGGAAAACCTGCTATCACACAGAATACAGATTGGATATTTAAGAAAACCTAGATGTCACAAAACCCCAAGAGATGCCAAAAAAATAAGAAAGAAAGGAAAAAGAAATAGGGTTGGTTTCCATTCAATAAAGGCATCCTCTAATGTGATCAACAGTACCTTATAGATAGTGGGCAAGGTTCTATCTTGACTCGCATGATATTGTTGAAGGGCCTGATGACTGGGGAAATAAAGAGAGGATATAGTAAGATTTTAAATATGCTCAATCATACAGCAGCAT